ACCTGTCACCTAGCCTAGTCTGTGGCTGCGATGAAACATTACAGCATTGGTTAAAATGATGAATACGCTCCTCTTGTATAAAGACTAGGAGTACATCTTTACAATACTGATTCTTTGTGACACTTGATGCTTCCAGTGAGAAAGCTGCCTTCAACATAAAAGACGTTATAGGGATCGCACAATTATGACTCCAGTCCTTTTCATCAGATTACATCTACGACATCACAAGACAAAATTGCTTCATCCCCACTACAAACTCATTCAAACATGTAAGTGAAGCCACAAGGAGAAGTTCTAATATCAGCATGAATTCAGATGCCAAACCCTACATCTGCATTACCTACAGGGCAAATAGCTATCCACGTGCCTGGAGTTATCAGCACCTGTATAAGGTGGCTGGTTGAAACTACAGTTGAGCAAGATGAATGAACACATAGATGAACAAGAGAACTAAGTGCTGCAAAACAATATGCCAAAGATGAAATAGTCAGGTTTACAATGGTTCTAAATAAGCACAAGCTATAACAGTCTGTCTCCTGAGCAACTCAACAAAATAGTGCTCTGCTTTTTGCACTGGCTCCCCACCGAGCAGATGAAAGCTGGAAGGTCCAGTCCTGCATTCTTAAGTTTGCACTTTGTCCTGTAATACCAGTATTCTATTGGAACAGAGTTAATGAACGTGGGAAACCAAAGTCTCTTCACAGCAGTCTCATGACTGAGACGCATTTCATAGACAACCAACTTCTCTACCAAGAGACACATTTAAAACTTGACTTTTCAAAATAAATCACACAAGAAAAAAAATGTTTACCTCCATGTGAAAAAGAGTTTCTTTTACAGTGTTTAACAGACTCAAATACTATGGTGATAAGTGTGGTATAAAACCATAGGTAGAAGAGGGAGAAGAGATATTTTAAAATGTTAGAATGCCAGAGAAAATATCAATAAAGACAGTGACTCAAGTGATTAAGCCTTCCCTCCCACTGAGAGAGAGAGAGAGAGGGAGAATCCTTACCATATATTCTTAAACTTCAAAATTTTCAAATGTGGCATTTATAACAACAAATAAAGGATTGAGAACCTGCCCCAACCCAGGTCTAGGTAAGACATGCTCAATTAAGAAGTCAACAGATCATATGCACGAGACTTACTGCAATATGCAACTGTAAATGAGGGCTTCATAATGCAAGAAAAGGAAAAAAGAGGCAGACCGGACATATCAAACATGTACACAGAAATATCCAAAAAAATTAGTGTTTTTCTGCCAAAAGCTCAAAGTAGAAACTGTTGCCCGCTTCGGCCATTTTCAAGCGTCTTAGGTCAAGCTGCAGAAGTGTGGCTAAGAAGAAGGTCCAAAACCTACTTCTGAGTGACTGTGGCATGAACCTTTGCAGACGTGACAGCTACCTTGTCAGCAAAGTAAAAGAAGCCATCCACATGTCTAACTAAACCAGCAATGAGTTACAATTAAACAAAGCCTGAAAAGAGACTGTATAAGGCAAAAGCATACATTAATAATCCAAATACATAATCCCATAGCTTTATGTTAGAATAGTAATTGCTGTGACTGATGTAAACAAATTTATTAGATGCTACTGTGCTATAATATTTATGTTAGTTAAGATGCTTAGATCATTTCTAGAAACAAAACATCCTTTTCAGATAAGACTGTAAAAGTAAGCTAAACAGGAAACAGGACAGCGCTGAACAGCATTCCACAATGGGGAAAGAAATCCTCCTTTTTATTTTCCCAAGGATATAGATCCCAAGACTAATTGACACCCTCCAGGTCCACAAGAGATCTTGTTCAGTCCAGTTCCAAAAGTTTCAGTGAAACAAAGAAATTTCAATAAAACTAATTAGAGATCATTTATTAGAATATTAGAACCAGCCACCTATAAATATGGGGTATAGGCTGGAGGAGAATTTGGAGAACTCAGCAAATTCAAGAAGACCTGCTGACAATCTGCATGCTACCCTCCTCTCACCTCTTGAGTCTCCCCAGCCAGTACGGATGAGAATCTATGTTGTGCTGTCATGGGTAGCCAGATAAACTTTGTTTTTTGTGTTCTGAAGTGCAAGCAAATAAAAAGTCAGGTCTGTGCACCTGTTTCTGCCTGTTTTATCAGTAGCCAACCCACAAGGTTACATGTAGCTGACCCCCACCCCAATACCCAAGAAACTTTTACTTTCCTTAATTCATGATCTGGTTAAAAAAACCAAAAAGAAACCTTTGTTACATTTTTTTTTTCCAATTTTGTTTTCACAAAATTACTGTTTTTTTTCAAAATGTAATCAAATGTATTAAAGTGATTCTGTGTTTTAATGTAGGAAACAGCCTTGTCTTTTTTCTATTGTGGTTTTATGACAGAAATAGCCTGACAATACAGACATAAAATAAAAAGCTTATATTTAAATAAGTTTCATTTCAAGTGGCTTTAAAGTAACTTTGTTTTTTCAAGGTGAAAATTTCTAGCAGGAAGCTATTTGACCTATAGCCCATTTCAATATTGTTGTAAATGGTCTTGTTTGTAAGAGAAGTGGAGGACATGAGTCATAAATTGTTCAAATTTATTTTTAATTTTGTTGCTGGGCGAACCATTTGTTGAGTGAATGGTTTTATTGCTAGGATTTTTACTGGTTATTTTAAATGGGATTTTTGTATTGAACATTTTGTAAAATGATGATAGCTCATAAGATTTTTTCACCTGGACAAAACTATTCCCACTTTTGAAAAATGGTTTTATGATGGCATTTTTTTATGTTTTTGGGGTTTAAGGACTTTCAGTCTCTGAGGTGTTTTAGAAGTAAATGGTTTAAATGAGATGTTTCTAGAACTGATATCACCTAATGTGGATCTAATTCAAACACAATTAGCTGCAAAGCAGGCCTCAGACCTAAACTGCAGACTTTGCTTGCTCAGTCTTGTGCACTAAGCCACTTGTCACAGTTTAAACAGAAGATTTATCCAAGTTAACAGAGGAGCACAGATAAGAAAACAGACTCCAAACCTTTAATGCCTATATATTACACAGAAGAACTGCGTAGGCATGTGGCCAAAATCAGATAGCACAAAAAAACAAAAAGCAGCTTACTGAGACTTTATAATGACAGTGGTAACATGCCAAAAACATGTCCTTGTAAGATATTTTCCTTTTATATTGGCAAGACCTCAGGTACAGAAGCAAAAAAGGTTTCCTGCTTTGTTTCCCTAGTATTTTCACAGGTCAATCCCATCTAATTTACATAACCAGGTCAATTATGTTGGTCCCAATATTCAGATTAGACAGTACTAGTGAAGACCTCATAGTCCAGCTACTATTTTGTACAAATTTACACTTCATTAAACTGGTACACAGAGAACTTGCAGCTTCCAAGCAACAAGACAGACCAATGATTCTGATTTGATAACCAAGTCGTAGGTTCCAACAAATTCCAAAGACTGCTAAATGACAGCACTCCATTTATATGGCAAGGGAGTTGAGGCCAAGTGAATTATTGTGATTGTGTGCTAGCCTTAGGTATTCACACACTGGTCCCCAAATGACCCTTTTCTCCTTGTTGTCTACACAAATTTCCTTGGTTTTCTGACATATGCAAGGGACAAAAAGACAGTGGAAGAAACCTGAACGTTGATGGTATAAAACAAATGCTGGTACAGACAGTTTCGAGGATTTAAAATTCTCATAGCCTAAGCTGTGGCTGCAATAGAGGTCAAGAGAAACTTCCTAGAAGCCTACAATTAAAAACATCAAAACCTATGCCAAGGTGCTGTCCAAGGTACTACAGGGTTTCCTCAGTTCTAAGCGACGGCATCAGAAGAGCAGCAAGTGCTATGAAGAGTTCTCATCCTACCTTGATGGAAAGGCCATTCACCTTGTCAAATAGCATGGATCCACTCTACCAATACACATGAAGCAACAGACAATCTGCATTCCAAGAGTTAAGCACATTAACTTACGGGGCATTTTAGGAATCAATTTGATTTAAATCAAATCCACCCTGCATCTGCCATCACTGAGAACAGTCTAGCTCTTTCCTCTTTGAAAACACCCTTCAGGTAGTTAAAGGCTGCTATCAAATCCCCACCTCAGCTTCTCCTCAGAAGTCATGTGCCCCAGCCCCGTAACCATTTCCATTGCCCTCCACTGGACTCTCTCCAATTTGTCCACATCCTTGCTGCAGTGTGGGGCCCAAAACAACACAGTACTCCAGCTGTGGCTTCACCAGTACAGAACAGAGGGGACTAATTACTTCCCGTGATCTGCTGGAAATGCTTCTACTAATACAGCTCAGTATGCTGTTAGCTTTCTTGGCAATAAGGGCACACTGTTGACTCCTATTCAGCTTATTGTCCACTGTAACCTCCAGGTCCTTTTCTGCAGAGCTGCTACTTAGCCAGTTGGTCCCACGCCTGTAGCAGTGCATGGAATTCTTCTGTCCAATGTGCAGGACTTCCTACATGTCCTTGTTGAACCTCATGAAATTCCTTTTTGGCCCAATCCTCCAATTTGTCTAGGTCACTCTGAATCCTAGTCCTACTCACCAGTGTGGCTAGTACTACCCCCATCTTGGTGTCATCTGTGAACTTGCTTAGGGTGCAATCCATCCCATCTTCAGCTCTTTAATGAAGATACTGAACAAAACCAACCCCAGGACCAACCCTTGGGGCCCTCTACTTGATACTAACTGCTAACTAAACCTCAAACCATTGATCACTACCTGTTGAGCCTGATGATCTGGCCAGCTTTCTATCCACCTTACAGTCTAGTCATCTAACCCATACTTCCTTATAGAGCCACTTTAAGCACCAGAAGAAATGTCATGCGATGTTAGGGTTTGCTGCAGCCAGTCAAGCCAAAGCAATTCCCAACCAATGACACAATTATCTGACAAATCCATTACATGATTGACAGCGTTCAGAACCTGTCAATCATAAGTTCAGGAAAGCAGTAAGAAACTTCAACCTAAGTAAATAATACTACATCTCAGCCTTCTGAACAACTTCTAACAATGATGCTTTACGAGTTGAAAAAAAGTCACATGTGAAGACGTGTGTTTTGCTCTCCATTGATGATATGCGCTATAAGGGAAGCTTTCTATGATGTGTTCCAGCACCCTGCTTTTGCAGGGGATTAGAATAGCAATATCAGATTAGTGTTTGCCACAAGACAAAAGTGAGCAGACTTCAACAGAAGCACTTAATGGTGTGACAGCTTATTTCAGAGAATACTTGAAATGGAAGCCAGGCTCTAAGTTCTACATTCCATAGAGGTCAGTCTGGGGTACCAAAATCACCCTGGTTCTCTATCATGTCAGTTCTTCCAATATTTCAGATCCTTAGAAATTAAGTGATGAAAACAAGTGAAGTGATGACACAGTAAGTTGAAATTTTAGGGGATAAACAGAAAAGCTTCCTGCCAATATCTCAGGAAGCAATGAGCCTGCTAAACAATACTTTGGAAGCAGTGGCCCCTAAGGCTATCTGAGGAAACATGTCATAAGAACTGCGAAGCAGAAAAATGAGGTTTCCATTTCTCTGGAAAAATCTGGTCATAAATTACTTATGGGTGATGTGAATCTTGCCTGCAGTAGGAATCTGGCCAAGTTGATGCATGGGTCATATGCAGATCCTTAAAGACTCTTCCCTGATCCTGAAGAACTCTTCTGAGTTAGTGTCCGAATATATAAGGATTTTTGTTTTGAGGCACTACTATAGAGAAAAGGAGCAAACCAGAATGCTTCAGACAATATTTCTTTGAGTCACCTGTGTTTTTAAGTCAAATTGGTCACCTGGTAGCTCCTAACTTCTCCACTCTGCCTGTACACCTTGTTTCCATTAAGAGGACAGAAACAATTGTAGTTAATGAGCTCATATAAATGTTCCTGTATCAAGAATGGCAGAAAAGAGTTGAATTTAGGATGGACCAGATGAAGGCAGGGGTCCACTGTAAAAAGGCAATACAACAGCTGCTCTCTCCAGCACCTTCCAGCAGCTTTATTTCTAAGACACGGTGCCTCCTGAACACTTCCATCTCATCAAAGGTATGGTGACTCCATGCTGCCTCCAACACAACCGTGTGTTTAATGAATACAATCTGGCCTTACATCTTTGTTATACAGAGTAAGATCAGAATAAAGCCTTAAAAAGCCAATGCCTACTATTACTGAATAAAATGATTCATTTCAATTATCAGGAGATATTTTTCTACCCACGCATTTCTACATGGTATCATGGTAATCTTCCAGCAATCCTTGTCACTTAGTACAGAACATCCCTGATAGAAGCACTAAAATATCTGCAGTTTTGATTGAGGTGTTCAGTTTCCATCAAACCCTTCTAATTAAGATCATAATGCTGGTTTAAATCCACAAAACTGTATAAAACTGTCAGATTTCCCTCAGTAAGTTACAAGATTTCTTAAAATGGTTTGATTAGACACTTGAAATAGTGGAAACAGTTCACAAATTTAAAATCAGGTTATACTGATCAGCACAGCAACATGCTGTGCAGCTACTCTTGATCAAGACTGCCAATTATATCAATCCAGCAATTTATAATTTTTCTTAATACTGGTGCAGGTGTACTGTGATCCTAGGAGGTATTCTTTTCTGTAAGACAGAAAAGACATTATACAAGACATAAGAGACTACATGACTACATAAGGCTTGGAATTAACTGTAAGAGAAGGCAGTAGAGAAATGCACTTTTTGAACCAGTGGATGTGTATCATGGTGCAAGAAGTTGCTCCTTCTTAGGCTGCCTACCTGAATTGTAGCTAGAATCCAAGTCTACTCTTTTGTTCTAATTGTTTAATGAAGTCAAACCTAGAGAGAATTCACCTCCAAAAATTAGGCATCTACTTCAATCCAAAATGACAGCAGCTGAATTAAATGATAGGAAACAAAGGGCACCTAGTTTATTTCTACACTTTATAATAGCAGTTGATTATACATTGGATAGATTTGGGCATAAAACTGGGAAATCAACCTAAGGAAGAAAAGCATCATGTAACTGTAAGATTAAAAATAAGGATAATTAAATGTGATGAATGAAAATATTGTTTAAAACTATTTTATGCTTTTCTTATAACTTTAAAGACAAGTCAAAAAAGTACTTTTCCTATGTTACAGCACAACAAAACATGAAGCTGTCTTCTTTGTAAGGCGCACACATACTGCAGTAGACAGAATATAATTCTGAGTTGTAGAAATAATTTCCTACACAAAGGTCACATCTACACATCACTGTATATTGCCATATAACACGCTATGGCGATGTAGGGATCACGTGAGTCTACACATGACCAGCAGCTACTTCATCATAGTGGCACAGTCCCCCGTTTTAGCATGCTGCTACGGCAAAGCAGCAGCTAAAATTAACTGTACACCATGCATACAGAGCAGTATGGGTGGTTACTACACTACAAAAGGATGAACTAAAGCATGGTGCAGTAACAATGTTGCCATAGGGCAATGCGTAGATGTGCCCAAAATTTTTAGCAAACTAAATCTACTACTCAGGGCACAGGGTGGTGGGAATGGGAGGATCAGGGCAACTGCAATGGGGATAACGCAAGTGGTGGTGGGACCAGTGGCTGCCAGGTGAGTGAGGCTGTGTCTGCATAGCCCTTGCTTATCCTCCAGTCACCAATGGCTATGTCTGTCAAAGCCCAGGGGCCCTGGATTCTGCAACAGGCTACACTCTCCATTTCTGATAGCCAGCCAGGCTAGATGAAGCAGCACTGTGGGCTGGATCCAGTGCATGGGCCATATGTTTGACACCTCTGGACAAAAGGGATAGTTTCAAGCTCCATCCCTTTAACTGCTGAAAAGGAAAAGAAACTCTCTCTTCCATAGTTAAAAGCCTCCTAACTGATTTATTAGGAATTAGTCTCTATCGCTGTCAAGTTTTATGGAGAAGACAGGGTAAATATACACCTTATAGACTAACTAAATAAGATGCATACAGTTTTATGAAGTCCATATTACAATTCATGCCAATTAGTTATAATGATTCAAATTAACTCACTGGATTATTTAAATAGAATTTCTATTGTGACCTCAAACAGCAGAATAGACTCTCACAAGATCTGGCAGTAGCGGATGAATGACGAATGTCCGAGGTATAGATAAGTGCTGGCTATGGGGGAATAAGCTGGGCACAGCTAGGTTTCTAAAAGAGTGTTCTAAGGAAAGTGCAAATAAGTGGGACGAAGCTTTCTGAGAAACTGGAGAACAGATGCTTGGAATGAGAGGAGGACACTTGGCGTCTGTCCAGTAGGTGGAAGAAGACTTGATGGTTTCAGATAGAAACATCTGCTGGGGATCTCTCTGTTGGCTGGGTCCCTGACTGGGGTGTGGACACAGCTTCCAGCTGTGCAAGGGTCAGGAAGCTGCAGTCACACTGCTGTCATTTCTGTGCTGTGGTTGGGAGGCAGGGAAGGGAGGGAAGAGTGAAAAATAGCATCAGGGTGGAAAAAGTTTCCAGCTACCTGGCCCCAGTGCAGCTCCCAACCAGGAGGGAAGAGTGAAAAATGGCATCAGGGTGGAAAAAGATTCCAGCTACCTGGCCCCAGTGCAGCTCCCAACCAGCTGGAAGCTGTGCGCATGCTGCAGCTGGGGAAAGGCTAGGGGACAGGGGACAAGAAGCAGCAGCAAGAAGGGCACAGCTAGAAGTTGCCCAGCCCCATCTAGTTCCTTGCTGCATGCTTAGCTCTGGTGCAGGCACACATAAACAAAGCCCTTGGGCTCTGCAGACCAGATTCAGTGGCTCTGCAAGCTGGATGCTGCCAACCCCTGCCTGGGAGTCAATGCATTGTTATGAGTTTAGAGATGTTTTGGTGGGTCATGTGGAGAGATTCCTTAAATTCACCAATTAAATTTTACACTCTGTAAAGCCTATAGCTAAAACCATAGGAACTTTGCAGATTTATACAAGGTGATCTAATTCTAATCTTCATTATGCAAAGATTTCAAGCCTTTTAAACTATCCAGCTGGTGCCCCCTCATTGTCATAATACTCTTATAAGAACATTCACTTGATGTTCAAACTGTACCTTGTAAACAGAACTGCCTCCAACTATCCAAACCAAGTCTATCTTATTTTTTAGCTCTGGAGAATCCAGAAGAACTAAAGCATCATCCAAGCTTCTGGCAAGGTGGTGTGCTCCTTTTGGGACTTCCCTAGAAAGACAAAATGTCATTGCTTAACAGTGATAAAGACTATTCATCATGACAGACAATGTAAATTACAAAAAACAAAAAGTATCTACCTAATTATTCCTCATAAACATGAACAAATATATTTTGTCTTTAATACAATCTTTAGGAAGAAGTTAGATTTATGTTAAAATAGTATCAGCTAAACTTCTCCACCAATGTGGCACAGGATTACCTAACAAAATGCTGATTTGTAATACAAATAAATTTAATTGAATTATAAAGTCTGGCTTGTAAATTTTGTATCGGATATTTGCTTAAGCAAATATGTGGTATTTGGATTGCTAAATCTAATTAAAACTACCAAGTTTCTACTAAACCTGATACCTACTACAATAATACTTTTGGCAATGAAGCTAGTCATGAAGCCCCAAACCCCGCCCCCCCCCCAACACAATATCTGTTAAGTACCCCATAGAGACAACAAATTCAAATTACTTTAATCTTTTAGTCTCCTCAAGGATAACAATACTAATTAGATGCCCAATTTTTTCCAGCAGAATTGAAATAGCGCTCAATTAATTCAGCTTTAAAAAAGTACTTTACATTCTGCAGTGTTTTGTTAATGTACAAAACTCGATTAACTTAAATGAGGGTTGCACATACACTTAAAAATCATATTCCTTGCCTTAAGAAAAACATGTAACAAAAAATATTGTAAATTTTCTCCAGTAATGTTTTTCGCTAGTTTTATGTCTATTAGCAGTAAAATAATTTCTCCAAAGCATTATGCATAACACAGTAGGGATTTAAAAAAAAAGTATTATCTAGATAATTGTTTTATAGTTGTCTGGCCACAGTCTTGCTTTGACTGAAGTCAATGGAGAAATTACTATTTTAAGAGCTAAATTAGGTTCTCTCTGTGCAGAGGAACAGTTTGGTATATAGCAGTGAAGATACAAAACTTCTTAAGGATGTAGAACAGTGGTCAATAGCTGCAATTTGTAAATGCTGTTAGTTTTAAAGCACCGGTGACTCTGTACTACCTAGACCTGGATGATCCAGGGTAGTGTAGTTATAATTAAATGAAAATGATTTCTCCTTGTTGCTATTTTTTAACACATGCAGATTTTCATTACGCAATATCTTCTATCAAATGTGGCTCACCATCTTCAGTTATTTAACAATTCTGATCAAATAAGATTTCTGACTCCATTCTCTATTCACTTTCATTAGGAAAAAAATTAACCAACAAAAGTGGAAAACAAAAAACCCCAATAAATAGTCTTTGCACAGAAAAACCTAACAGAATGTAGCACAGCTTTAGCAGCTGCAAAATTAAATTATGTCAACTAACAAATGAAAAATAAACAACTAGCCCTGTCATCACTTTAGAAAAAGCACTGACCTGAATTACACATTGTCTAAGTGAGATGCCTTTTCCCTTTGTTTTGGCTCGAGTTTGCTTTTAACAAGTAGAAGAACATTATTGAAAGTCTTTGGTCACATTAGTTTGCAAAGGGAGAAGCCAGTAGAATATTGCAAAATTAAGATGTGGAGAAAGTTTTGAGTTCTCCAGACTGCAAGATACTTACATAGCATACACCAGTGATTCTCAACGATGGTGTTGTGGCACCCCATGGTGGGCTTTGAGTTTTTGCTGCAGAAGTGCTCTTTTATTTTTCCATACTCTAAAAATAAGTGACAGCTAAGAGCTTTGGTATTTTCCAAGGGGTGCCCTTGGGCCACATGAAGGGTGCTTTAAGCCTAAAAAACATTGAGAATCTCTGGTGTACACACATGTACCTTAGGATTTTAGCTGCTTTTGTTTAGAGAGAATTGCTTGTGACTAGAGAGGGTGGTAGGTGAAAAGAAGAACTGGAGTTCTGGCATTTTTTTTTCTTTTTACCAATACATAAAGAAAGCCAAAGAGATAAACAACCAAGACCAAGCTGCATAGAAAGGGAATGGACATGCATACACTTGTAGCTTCAAAAAGGGAGGGGGAACTGCTGCTGTGGGGCATGCAGCAGCTATTATGCTGTAACTGTTAGGTGTGCATGAACCTGTAATGATACAAATAAGCTACATCACTACAACTTTAAACCTGGAGGCACAGGGTTAATGTTGGAGCAGTTTTGCTACACTTGTATTACTACAGGTTACTGCACACTTAAGTGTAACAGCTGCTAGTGTTTTTGAGCAGGAGCTCTTGCACCCTTTTTGAAGGGGCAGGTATGTGGTACAGGGGTAGATATGTCCATACCCAAAGGCACTTAAATGCAAGGAATGGGAGGACTACCAGCAAGACTAAAATGGTTGGGATGTAGATTTTTCCTTTATATGCTTTTAAAGAGAATACAAGAATGCGCACAGGAAGAATGCTGGATTGGTAGCCCTGCAGGGAAAGGTTTCAGTTATCAGTGTAACAGGTGCAGAGTGCCCTGACAACAGGGTTCTGAATGGAGAAGCCCTAGGGGACAGAAGTTTTCAGGCTCTGACCCGGGTCATAATTTGCCAATTAACTACAATGAACATATTTATGAACAAGAGAGAAAGAGAGAGAGATGGGACGCCAGCTCCCTGAGAACTGGGCTAAAACCATAAACTTGTTTAGCCTGGGCTCTCAACAGCCCCCAGGCCTACAACACTTGTTGGTACTGATCCTGCAGGGAATTGCATGTGGCTGGACTGTTGAACTTCTATTGATAGGGACCTACTTAAATCGAGGAGGCAGGCAACCAATTTTGCAGGCACATCACAGGGCTGGCCACCATTTCTACAAGCTTAATCACGGTGGGGCTCCCATGCCTCTGATTGTCCAAGGGTCCCCAGTGGCCCCACCTCTAGCCACTGGTTGGGTGAGAAGGCTGTCTGTCATGGGGTCCTGCCGCACTACTGATTAGCTGAGAGGGCTGCCTGTTGTGTGGCTGCACCCTTCACCACTGTTTGGTGGAGAGGGTGGGGTTGCATGACAGACAGCCCTCTCAGCCAATCAGCAGTGATGAGGGAAGGGGGTAGCCTCCATCTAGTTTGCTCCCCGTTGTGCCAATGGAGGCCCCCCTTGATGGGCTGTGCAGCTGGGCTGCAGCAGCCATAAGGACTACTGGCTCCCACTGGGGAGCCAGCATTTTAATTTTCAGTAAGGTTTTTTTTTGGTTTTTTAAATTTCCGTGAAGTTGTGAATTGAGTAGGTTGCTAAATATAGATTGTCAAGGGCTTCAGGGGACCACCACAACAGTACTATAGTTTTCTTGTGTATCTCACATTTCAGGATGGGATCCATTCTGTAAGTACCCAGGCTGGATTTGAAAGCATGGATGTGAAAACCTTTCCTATCCTCATAACCAATCCAGATCTCATTATCTCCAAGACTCATAGGCAACTGAACTGAAGTATGATTCCCTATCTTGTGGAAATAACTCTGTCTCTTTTTATACAAAGTAGCATTATGGACAAACTATGCTATCCTCCAACAAGTATTAATTAGGACAATGATGGACAGTAAAAGCTTTATTATCCAGCACCCATGGGGAATAGGGGGTGCCGGATAACAAAATATGCTGGTTAATGGAGGCCCGAACAGGAGGGACAGGAAGGTGGGCCCTGCGCAGCCTGCTATGCCCCAGGCTGTGGGGTCTTGGTAGCACAGGCTGCTTTGCCCCAGGCCATGGCAGCTCAGAGAAACCGGAAGTGCCGTGGTGGGAATATGGAAAATAACCAGCCACAGAGGCAGAGGCAGAAAGCTGAATGAAACAAAAAGGCAAGAGTCTACCAAAAAGAACCCAAAGACTAGGGAGCAAAAACAATAGCAAAGCTTTCAAACTTTTTGCTAATGATGTACTATTCCATTCTCACTCGACCCATGTCTGAAGCCCAATTATTCTACACCAAGGTACTTCAACCTGTAGACGCACAAAGCTAGGAGGACCTTTCAGGTAGTGATAGCTTCAAGGATGAAGAAAACAAGTGACAAAACTCATGACTGGTAGGAACTCCACAGAAACTGTTTTAAATATACACTGGAGGTGAAAAGTACTGCTCTTTATTGCTTTATCGGGCTGTTACTCTTCTGTCTGAGAAAGTGCTCACCATAAGTGGTGTGCCTTTCAAACATACAGGATGGAACAATCTGCCCTAAGTTGCTAACAGTTTAAGACTGAACAGAGAGCAAGAGGCAAAAAAAAGAAAACAACAGTGATTTTCAGTACAAAAATCAACAAGATCCACAACAAGCAGCACAGTAGATGTGGATTTTTTGAGTGGTTTAGTATGGGACACATGTTAAAAAAGTGTTATTCTGCACCTGCATCTATGCTATTTAGAAATCTACTTCACACTTACATTATTCCGAACTTGAACTATAAAATGCAATTATGCTGAACAAACAATAAACAATCATCAGTGTATAATGTTTGCAAATTACTTACAAGACCAAAGTCAGGACTTACGCGAGTTCTCTGCTGAGCACTATGTTAATTCTATCTTTTAAAGGACGATTCTTCTCAGGAATAGAGAACCAGGTCTTCTTACCCATTATCAACACATTTTGTTTACCTGGGTATAATATATAGAGGTTCTTTTTAGAAAATATCTTCAATGTAGTACAGAAATAGCTGTAGTGGTTTAGCGACATCTCGTGGATTTCATCCCCCACCCCCTTCAATTCTGTTTACAATGTTAAACTGTTGATTCAAGTTTTAAACATTAGCAAATAATTGTTAATAGAAGACCAAACGTAGACTCTGATCCTGGGACTGTATACAATGACATGAACAGACACAAGCATTTGCAGGACCAGGACCTACATTTTTACACCAAATAAAACCATGCTTAAACAAGAACTTACAATTAACAAAGTCCTAAATATGACTTACTAAAACTGCCCAGTTCAAACAGCGTGGCTATAACAGCTAACTCAAATATGCATTTAAGGTATATTTCTCTGCACGTGCTGAAAGCCATGCAGCATATGTCATAGTTTCATAGTTGGTAGGATCGGAAGGGACCTAAGCAGATCATCTAGTCCGACCCCCTGCCATGGCAGGAAAGAATGCTGGGGTCTAAGGACCCCAGCTAGGTGTCTATGTAGTCTCCTTTTAAAGACCCCCAGGGTAGGAGCGAGCACCACTTCCCTTGGAAATTAGTTCCAGATCCTAGCCACCTTGACTGTGAAGTAGTGCCTCCTGATATCTAGTCTGAATCTACTCTCTGTCAGCTTATGGCCGTTATTCCGTGTTGCTCCCAGTAGTGCTCAGGGGAACAGGGACTCTCCCTTGCCTGCTGGTCCCCCTTGGCCAGTTTACAGATGACCACCAGATCCCCCCTCAGCCTTCTCCTGTGGAGGCTGAACAGGTTTAGGTCTTGTAGCCTCTCCTCGTAGGGCCTGCCCTGCTGCCCCCAG